TTTTGCTGTATGTTTCTACTTTCCTTCTGATGATATCTTAACTGATTAACAGGCTTGCATCCACGAGGGAAGTGAACCCATTCAATTCTTTTCTATCTTCCAGAGCTTTATTGTGTTTAAGGTTTGAGAAATTTTGATTCATAACTTCCTTCAATGGTTACTCATGTTTTAGGTTTTCCCTAGATGACTAGTTCGATTATGTAAAATTCATCAGGGTGGTCTTAGTGAGGGATACAAGAATTATATTGTGGAGAAGGAAATCCCAGATGGAACATACACAGAAGATGGTCTTGCACTGTTTCGAGTACAGGGTTCTGGACCTGATAATATGCAAGCAATACAACTTGAAGCAGTATGTACCAAGTTTCATCTACCATCTTTGTTTCCTTATGAAATTGTTACACGATTATCCTGTTAGAACTAATTTTTATGGGAAGTGAAAAATCTCCATCTGACTACGGTTGGGTACTTGTTTTTATTGTTTTTTAAAAGGTGAATGGACTGTGTTTTGCCTTTTCCATGACCAGACAATGTAAAAGCACGAATTCTAAAACAGTTGCTAGTATAGATACAAAAATATAATCTGTTCTGCAGGACATTTATTGCTTATTGGATAGAACTTATGTTTTTCTCCATTTTTCCTTTATTTGACTTATATCAGGTCGCGTCATCTCTGAACTCCTCATACTGTTATATATTACATAGTGGTTCCAATATATTCACATGGGCTGGGAACTTAACTTCCCCTGATGACCATGAGCTTGTTGAGCGACAACTGGATATGATAAAGGTATGTTTTATATTTTGAAGCAAGTTCCTTCCCTGAACTTCTTTTTGTTAGTATGGCTAAGTGGGTAGTTTCCCTTCATTGTTTTGAATATTATGATTCATTTTGGGTTCAGTTATTTGAGCTATTTTATTTGATTCTTTAACTTCTGATTCATGTTCACTTCTAATTGAGTTTTCTTGGTGTTTTTTATTGGCTTATGCTACCCTTATGGTTCTCTCCAGCCTAATTTACAATCCAAGCCACAAAAAGAAGGTTCGGAATCCGAACAGTTTTGGGAGTTGCTCGGAGGAAAATCTGAATACCCAAGCCAAAAGATTGCAAGGGAACCTGAAGGTGATCCCCACCTATTCTCCTGCACGTTCTCGAAAGGTATTGGACACTCTTTAATGGTTACAAGGTTATTCATGGTCTCCTAATTCTAGAAAAGTAAAATGTTTATTCAATATTATAATTTTCTAATTCCTTTTCCTTCTTCATCATCATGTTTAATTGCAAATTGTACTGCAATCTGCAGGGAATCTTAAGGTTCGTATCTACGTTTCTGCTACTTCCTAAACACCGCAGCATAAATCCACGTTTAATATGGTTTGAATTTTTAATTTTTCGTATGTGGGTTCTTAAAACGTAAGGGTTTTATCTAATCTCTTCGTAACTTCATATGTTCAATCCATATATGGATCATGTTAGCATGCTTTTAAATTTTAAAAGTATGCATGACTTTTATCATATCACAATGATACTTATGAAACAGTGCTTTGAGCTTCTGACATTATATTCCGAAAATGACAAGCTAAAATAAGGAAAAGAAAACAATTTTGTACATTATTGTCTTTTGTCTGCACTGTTGGCTTCAACTGAAGTTCTTATGCAGGTGATCGAGATATTTAACTTCACCCAGGATGATTTGATGACGGAAGACATATTCATCCTAGATTGCCACTCGGATATCTTTGTCTGGGTTGGACAACAGGTCAATACCAAGAATAAATTGCAGGCCTTGACTATTGGCCAGGTAAGATCAAACAGTTAGTATAGAAGGTGGAATGTCGTTGCACTCTATTTTTAAGGGTACTATTTTCATTATCAACAAATTATGGATGTCGAGTCATGAGTGCCGCTACATATGCTTAAATCATAAAACTTAAAAAACTTATGTATATGGACTTGTCCTTGGTTGGTTCATACAATATCTTTTAGGAAGTTGTGTTCTTACCTTTCCTTCTGTTGTTGCTCAGAAATTTCTTGAACAGGATGTTCTCTTAGAAAATTTATCCAGTGAAGCTCCGGTCTACATAGTCATGGAAGGGAGCGAGCCACCCTTCTTCACCCGTTTTTACACATGGGATTCTGTGAAGTCCGCGGTAAGTATATTTACTACTACATTTGAAGTGCTCGTGGTTGATATCTTTGCAAGGATCTTAATGTCTTTATTTTCTTGCAGATGCATGGAAACTCATTTCAAAGGAAACTTATCATTGTGAAAACCGGGGGTACACCAGCAATTGATGTAAGACTCAACTTTAGTCTTTCGGAGTAGTTGAACTATCTCTGCTTTCGATATTGAGTGATCATAATCTATGTTGCACAGACACTTCGTTTTTCTTGAAGTATTCATGCATAACACTCGTGTCCAAAGCAAATCCAGATATATGACTCGAAAGACTTTCTAATTACATGGAAAAACATTTTTAAAAAATGAACATACCCCATATTCAACATTCACATGAAAACTGGAGTCGGAGTAACATAGCATGTGTGTATGTTTGTGTTCTTGTTACTACTTCAACAGTCGTCTTTAGAGTTATTTCTCTTAATACCATCATATTACATGTTTAGAAACCCAAGCGGAGAACACCGGTATCACATGGTGGAAGGTCCAGTAGTGTGCCAGACAGATCACAACGTTCAAGAAGTATGTCCTTCAGTCCTGAACGGGTTCGTGTGAGGGGAAGGTCTCCTGCATTCAATGCACTAGCAGCTGCATATGAGAATCCTAATGCTAGAAACCTTTCTACTCCGCCACCCATGGTTAAAAAACTGTATCCAAAATCTGTGACCCCTGATTATGCGAAAAAGTCTGCAGCTATAGCAGCTCTCACTGCATCTTTCGAACAACGACCACCAGCTCGAGAGACCATCATACCTAGATCTGTGAAAGGTATATGCTTTCTGTGTTTCGAGATGAGTTTATGTTATTTTCATGTTTGTACTTAAAGCCATAAGTATGTTTCTTTGTGAAGTGAGCCCACCGACACCCAAATCAACACCGGTGCCTAACTCTAAGGAGAATTCCATTAGCAGAAAACTAGAATCTCTTACTATACAAGAAGATGCAAAAGAGGGTGAGGCTGAAGACGAGGAAGGCCTTCCGATATACCCTTATGAACATCTCAAAACAACATCAACCGATCCTGTTTCTGAAGTAGATGTGACCAAGCGAGAGGTATGCTTTTAAGATGGTATCATGTTGTTCTAGGCATTTATGATCATTTCTTCTCCGAGACTCTTATATCTGAAATATGCAGACGTACCTGTCATTCGAGGAGTTCAAGGAGAAGTTTGGGATGAAAAAGGATGCATTCTATAAGTTACCTAAGTGGAAACAAAACAAGCTAAAAATGGCTCTTCAACTGTTCTAAGCCCCCCTTTGATTCTGCTATTGATTTACAAACCACCCCTGCAAATGAGAGTGCAGGTGGAACACAACATGCTTGCAAATTTGTACAATTTCTTTCCATTTTTCATCATCAAGTTTGCTTTTATATCTTAAACCAAATCCGCGAATCGGTCTAACTGCACACATTTTGTTCAGCTGCAGTGGGGTGAATCGAACCCGATTTCCCTAGGAAGTTTTTGGATTTCAACCCCCTTTTTCCCCTCATGTGGTTGTTTGGATGTCTAGAAAAATTATTCCTTTTTTTCTTTGTTGTTTTTGGTTGTGTTAGCTTACTGGAATTCTTCATGGTCGAGGTTTGCATTTTTTTTAACTTATTTTTTTGTTTATTTTTTGGGTTTGCAAATGATTAAAAGTAGAACAGTAATTGGGACAATTTAGGTTGTATCTTGTAAACTTGAGGATGAAAGTTTGTACAGAGGAGTGTAAGAACCCGGAACTAGTTCATTTTGTCTTTTATTTTGGATAATAAAAGTGTGTTTTGTTATTGTTATACTTATAATAAATAATGTGTCATTGAGATTCATTTGATCAATAATATGTAAGCAGGATCTATCAGATGCTTTTGAGATTTGAAAAAAACATAGTATTTTTAAAAAAATAATTTTAATTCTTCTAAAATAAATTTTCAAAAATATATAATGAGTGTCAAGTTTTGAATGGTTGATATATTTTTTAACGTTTGTGGAAAATTAAACATATCAAATGATAATGCGTTAAATATCTATTTTGGATAAAAAAATTAAACACCTAAAAAGTATAATTTAATCATTTATTTTATATTTTTTTCGGAAGATTCTGTGTTATCAGATTATTGAGACATGTGTCATTAATAATATTTAGGCTTTGTTCTATTTTAATATCTAATTTTTTTTAATCGTGTATAACTTTTTAATTTAGATTTCAATTTAATATCTTGTTGTTAAAAATTAAACGGTATTAATAATGTGAAATTTATATTACAAGACGCGTGGAATATAGAAAAAAAAAAGTTTCACATCCGTTAATTTTTAATGGTAGGATATGAAATTGAAAATTAAATCAAATGTTAGTATAATTTTAAAAATAAATAAAGTTTAAGTATTAAAATGAATAAAAAGTGATCATTTAAATACTAAATGTGTTATTTACCCTAATATCTAACAAGAAATATAGAGAAACTCAGTTGGAATACATTTTATTACTTTTGTTTAATTGTTAAATATGTTAACAACGATCTTCATTAACAAATAAACTAATTGATTTATTTTGGTTTAACATCAAAATATTTTAAAAATGGAATATATCCGTATCAAAACATATATTTATATTTATTAACAATCAGTTGGTCTAGTGAAACGAAACATTTGATTTCTTAAGTAAGATTAAGAATTTGAACACTAATGTATACGAATGAAATAAATTGAGTTAGGATGGTCATTCCACAATGAATCTATGCAAAATACGATATTAATTAATTGACCAATATATTAAATATTAATAATAAATTAAAAAAACATATATTCATATTCAAAATTAAAATCTAAATTCTAATGCCATGAAATTGTGCCTCGTTTGAGTCAATCATCTTCATCAAAATCAGGCTGAACCGACTGCTCGAACTCGGCATCCATAATAACCCCATCTATAACATGCACAACAAGCTTCCCTCTCCTTATATCAACCCTCTCCAACTTCACTCCATTAACCACCAACACTCCACCTTCATCCTTCGAAACAAACAACTCAAACCCCGACAACGAATCATATGACACCTCTTTGCCGGCCGACACCATAGTTGAGTCGAGAACTCGAGGAATGGCTGAGAAACCCAACACACGAGAGATGAGTGCGTACGTATCGTTCATCTTTTCCCCTACCAAACTATCACTCGTGTTTAACCTCAAATCACGCTCGAAAGCCGTTTCCGAAGGGAGAAAAACGGTGAAAGTGAGATCTTCAGGTAACATATTGATCATCATATTTCCAAAAGAACCGATTGAGTTGTAGTTATCGGAGGCTTTAAGCGAGTTCATGTTGTTGTAAAAGGACATTGAACCGTTGCTGGTGATAATGTCCGGAACTTTCATCATCGTAATGATCAATAACGAAATAAAACAAAGAAACACCACAAAGAACACAAAAGCAATTGAGCTTTTCAAATGGTAACCTCTCCTCATCTATTTTACTTCATTGCCAAGTGAACTCCATCTGGGATTTGGCTATTTAAAATACCTATTCGACGAATAAGAATATTGTATTATTAATATATATATATATATATATGATAATCAAAATCTAAATCTAAATAATGACACTGAAATTAAATTGAATCTATTGAAACAATGCAACATAAACTTTTTTTCTCGAGAATCAAAACGACGAAAAGAATCTTAGCGCTTCATACTTGCAATGAAAAAGAGAATAAAACAGTATACAAGTAAACAGAGAATCAGAAAGTTTCCAGCAGAGTTGCTATATTTCACCAGATTTAGAACCGGAAATTGTAATCAATTCCCATGATTCAAAGAGATCAAAACTCAGACCGAGATCGATTGTTGAAAATCAAATTGCAAAAGAGAAAAGGGAGAGGTAAAGAAGTTTACATACCTGATTAACTTCGAAAACTGTTGCTCTTAAAGAATCAGCGAAGCACGAAAACCTTTTGTTGAAGTCCCAATCAGAGAATGCAGACTTCGATTTCAAGTAGTGGAGTTTGAGACGACGAGATGGAAAACGGAGTCCCAAATCTTACCTTTTGAATGTTAACAACGCACTTTCACGTGAAATTATCTTGGAAAATGTTCTCCACTTAACTTAGGTCAAACGTTTATACATTTTAGGATAAATTACCTTGTTAGTGTCCCATATATTTTTATATTTTTGTTTCAATAATCTAACTTTAATAATGGGTAAACTATGTATTTAGTCATCTACCAATTCCAGTAGTTATGTTTTGGTCACCCAACTATTTTTTTCTTAAAATCATACATTACGTTACGTTTTGCTCACCCACTGTTAAAAAATTAATAATGATGTTTATATGTCATTATAAGACAATACCATATCATCGTTAAAAAAATAAAAGAATTGTCATGTTAGCAATTATATTTATTTTTTAATAACAAATGACTAAAACGAAACAAAAATGTAATATAAGGTATGATTTTGAAAAAAACAGTTAGGAGACGAAAGCGAAACTACTGGAATAGATGGGCAACCTAAATATGTAGTTTATCCTATATTTTTTGGGGTAAACTACACCCAATGTAACTTTTGTTTTTATCTATCTTATTTTGGTTACTAATTTTGAAACAGTTATACCTTCGTCACTTATATTATTATTTATTACATTTTGATCACTGATATTAACTCTCATTAGCTTAATGACGAGGCGTGTTAAAAATGATAATTTTTTAATTTGATTCCTGAACTTTAAATAAAATATCAAATTTTCTTCTAAACTCTCTCGACCTCTATTTTAACACACGCCACCTCTGCTTACAGTTAATGTTACTCCGACCACCTTTCGTCTTCTTCCCCATCTCTCCACCTCCTCTTATCTCCTTCCCACTTAATTTCTCTATTTTCTCAGCTATAATCTTATCCAGTGGCCACCTTATAAATCCATGGCTTAGTGAGTTGAGTAGTCGACCTTTACTTTACGCCCTTTGATTTGTCATTCACCAGTTTGTTCACTCCTTCCACCATATCAATGATCAATCCATGCTTTTACCATTTTCATGATATATTAAAATATAGGGTAAACTATTGTTTAGTACTTTAACTATAACTTTTGTTCCGTTTTGATCACCCAATTATTTTTTAAACTATATCTAACATTATATTTTGGTTTCATTTTAGTCACTAGGCTTTAAAAAATTAATGGACCTGTTGATGTGACATTTTCTTTAATTCCTATCACTGTGTGGTTGGTCCTAGGGGAAGAGGGAGTTAAGTGGTTGACCAACATCTTTAATATTATTTTAGAGACTGCCAAGATGCCAGAGGAGTGGAGAGAGTCTACGGTGATACCAATCTTTAAGAATAAAGGAGATCCCCAACGTTGTGGCAACTACAGAGGTATTAAACTACTAAGTCATACCATGAAGCTATGGGAAAGAGTGATAGAGGCTAGGTTGAGACATGTTACTAGGGTTTCGGAAAACCAATTTGGTTTTGTAACACCCCAACCCGTATCCGATCCGACTACGAGTCTGAGATGTCACATTGACTTTTTAAAACCTTTTTCTTACAAAATATCAAAACATTTGAACTTATATTAAGAAAAAGTGATCATATATTGTTCAATTGTGTTTGGTATAAAAGTATGAGATAAAAACATATTTATGAATAGTAAAATACGGTATGAACAGTACCGTATGAACATTACCTGCTACAGTACTTTCGGTAAAATACTTATAAATTCGTATAAAATCTCTATTTACATATGAACCTTACAAAACTTAATCATATGATTTTACAAAACCGATTAAAACACATCGGATTTAAACCTTTATTTACATGCCAACCACTATCATTGTTACAAAATACATATTATACATTTATGTTCTGATCTGATCTTTGGAAAGGAGAAACTGACCTGTCTGGCATAACTTTTACCAATCTTCCTCTTCTCAAACCTACGCGTGAAATAATCACACGCTAAGTCGTTGACTTAGTGAGGCATATAAAATATATATGAAAACCATATAACATTTCATAAAATAAAATGCATACATATTCATATACCATCATCATCATAATCTCTATTTATCATATGATTTTGTACCTATCATTTCTCATTTGATCATCACTAATTTCTTTATATACTATATCAGCATATAATATAAACTTCAAATCTCACTATTGCATAAATAATTACCAATCTCATATAACAAATACATTTCACTTAGGAATGCACACAATATCACATATGAATCTTGTAAATACTTTCAATGTCTTTTATGGGCCCATGTACATTACTGAGAACTCAAGGTATTCGAGTAAATTGAGGTTGTGCACTATTACTGTCACCACAGCTCGTATAAGTCCCACTGAGTGGCATATGAAATTTGTCCCGAAGGACCTGTGAATATGTCCCGAAGGACCTATGAGTTGTCCCGAAGGACCTATGAAACCCTCAACTCTTGGCATGCCAACTATACCCCTAGCTCTCAAGACACATAACATGGGCATTGTCATTTATATCATTTCACTTCACTTATTCATATCATTTCCTTTCTGTCACGTACCATATGTACGTGTAATCATTGATCTTATAATCACATATTTCATATAGTCACTTGGCTTATTTCATTTCACATTGGCCATGTCTCATAGCATATATCACACATGCATATAATCATGTAACATATATAATAACCTATATCCATTTCATGTATCCATTCAGATATCCAAATCATAAATCAAATAACATTGTATTATTACATACTTTGTTCCATAGCCATATATTTACATATCTTCTACTTACCTAGTTTACTCTGTTTCACCCATAGTCACATAATCACGTAATTTACTTACGCATAGATCATTTTCATACCTAAATCATATAACACCCAATTCTTCCTCATAAAGATATATATTATATTCATATAATATCATATTATCCTATAAGTAAATACTTATCTTATGGTTTGGTATCATCATTTATACTCAATTCCCTTCACTAATATATTATTCTCATATTACTCTATAGTCTAATCTTATTTAACTCATCACCTTTCTCATGTAGTCATATAAATCTATTATATAAATTCTTATAATTGATCACGTATACTATTAACATGTATAGTCACCTATCATATAACCTATTTCACTTTCCCATGCAATCATATAGACCATTCATATTAATTCCTATACTTATCACAATACATGTATTCACACAATCATTTAACACATATTGTAATATATATCACATACCCCAAATCAAACATATACCTATGATCATAAATTAATGCATTCTAATATAGGAAATAGACTTGTCGCAAGTCTTATTTCCATAAAACATCATAAACTAACTTGTATGCACTCACCTGGCCTCACTAGTCCATTCCAATCTCTTATCTTCCCTTTTTATCAATCTTACTTGTCAATGATTCCGGAACTCGTTTAGGCTCTGAATCTACATAATTATACATTTTAAGACAATTATTAGATACCTACACCTTGTAATTGGATACTAGTAACTTAAACGAACTTATTAAACCAATATTCACATTTTCCTTTAGGGGGAATCGGTTCCCTACTATGGGGGTATCGATTCCCTCATGACATTCTGGAATTCTATCGTTTGAAGGGGTATCGGTTCCCCTTGAATGGGTACCGATTCCCCTTGCCCAGAAATCATATTTTTAGCTCGAAAATCACTTCATTTTCAGCTCAACACTTCATATATCATCCCCTTTTCATTCTTAACTCTAGTACACATACTTAAACCAATCTATATTCATTTATTTCATCTTAAACCTCAAAATCCTATCTTCCATATGTAATTCAAGAATCATATCAAATTTTCTATATGTTCAAAATCCAATTCTATCACTCCAAATCTCTTAATTTAACCATTGACAAGTCAAATTTAACTTCAAATTCTACTTATCAATTCTTTTCCAAAGTTTCATATAAAAACTCTAAATCTTTAATCTCTCTTAACCCCTCCATTCTTTGATTTTTACTGTAACCCAAGCTTTCCTTATGTTTATCCATCAACTAAAGATCAAAACCAAGCTTAAAATTCAAATAATAATCAACTAATAAAACTCTCACCTTTGCCTTGCTCTCCCACGCATGAAGAAGAAGAAAGGAGAAGAGAACTCTGGATGTTTCTCCCATTTCCCACGTGTATATAATTCCTTAAATGATCAAATGACCATTTTACCCTTTATTTCCTTTAACAATTACAAAATAACCTTCATCATATGTATCCAATAATCATAGTACTATTTCATTCTTCTATTTTAGTCATCAAATTATGAAACTTTACAATTTGGTCACTAACCCATAATTTGGGATGTTACAAATCTCCCCTCCTTTAAAAAAAATTCGTCCTCGAATTTTCACTGCAAATCCTGAGAAGAACATATATTCTAACGTTCTCATGCTGCTTCCCTGACTTATTCTTTCTTGTCATCATCAGAAACTTACTTTCAATCCTTTAGTTTTCCAACTATCTTTTTCGTTTATACATTCATCTTCTGTTACTTATCATATATACAATAACCAGAAATACCAATCCATTGTTGTCTTTTCTCTCATTCAATTATGCATTTTCCTTTGACCTTTCTAAAATTCCATATAATGTCACTCATCACATTGACAGTAACATCCATCTCATCACTCTATATCATAAATCCATCCAGTTCTTCATAACTCTCTAAATACCTTATAACCATAACAACTTGTATTTCGTCATCATTTGACCAAAACACAACTTTAAATCTTCTTCAATTGTGATTAAACATATACTTTAAGGAGTCAAACAATATTTTCACATCACCTTGCACACTTTTCGTGTTTCTATATCGAACTTATCATTTACACTTCCATACGAATCCTCACTTCATTCACTATATCACATTTACGTAATCAAAATATACAACTATATCCAATACAATTTCATCACAAAATCTTGTTAGTCAACGCTAACTCTTTTATTCTAAAGTACAAATCCTTATCATCTCCACACTCTTTCTTATACACAATACTATCCCTTT